CCCCAAAACCCCAAAACCCCAAAACCCCGTTCGATACAAATTAAAAACAAAATCAATATTTAAAAAAAACTAATTAAAAGTCGAGCTTATATAAAAAAAGAGTCTTTATATTAGGTGAAAATTGTATAATAATTTTGTCAATTATTTTGCATAAAATACTATATAATCGTCCTATGGAAAATACCTAACAATCATTTTTACCACAAATTCAATCTGATATCAAGAGCTAACCTTCTACAACCACTTTTCATAAAAAGCACTTATCAATGCCGTATTCCTAGATTCTCGATCATCCAAACTAATAGATGATCAAAGTAGAGGAAATGCTTAACCGCACAACATTTAGATAGTGAAAGAAAAGTATAATCGAGAACTACCTAGAAATGAAATTATAATTCTATGACATTGAGGAGCACGAGAAACTAGAGAGCAGTTACCGTTCAAAGTCAAATTTATCGTAATCTGCCACTTAGAATCATTTACTAATGAGCAAATTAGATAAATCGATTAGAGATATCAAGGAAAAATGCATTAACTATGACCGGAATCATCCTGTTTTGAGTACGAATTTCAACTCACAATCGTTCTTTAGTAGAGGAGGCATTGCTACAACAGTTAATTCAAAATCTACAAGAAAAGTAGTAAATTTCTCGTCTCAAACCACTAAAAGTTCTCACAAGAGAGTTGATACTTAAGAAAGGTTAAAAATACAATAGGAAGCATAGGCCGAAGCATAAAAAATAATGTAAGAAATTGAGAAATCAGAATTATTAATACCAATGAGAATGGGATTTACAAATGATGATTCAAAAAGTGTCATAAACATCCCTTTTAATGATAGATAAAAGTTTCTTGATCACAACGACCTGAAAAGTAACATGAAATTCGCTAATAAAGAATAACTACAAGAAATGAATACTAAGTTTTAATATCAAAAAGTGAAAGAAGCCACTATTCCATTGTATGTATTATATAACGACAGTATTAACAAGCTGAAATAAGAGGAAAAAGACGAGATGAAGGATCCTAAGCCTTTAGCATTTTCAATTAAAACAACGAAAAATAAAGTAAAAACTATCAGATTTGAAATACTTGGCTAGAATGCCTAGATTGAAGCGTTAATAGATGAGGGTGACGATAAAGATTAGGAAAGAGATTTTGAAGATGAGGATATAAATGGACTCAAACTTATCAGTGAACATTAGTCAACAAAATCTAGAATAGAGTCAAAAGAAGGCTTTAGAGGTAGGAGAGCATCAAAGATGCAGTTCTAAATAAAGGTTAATGATGATCATTCAAGTAACAATAATAATACTACACCTGGCTAAAGTCCGTAAAAACTTGTTAAGAAGAATACACTGACTCAAAATAGTATCAGAAAAAATAATCTGAACATAAGTACAGATAATGTTAAGAATTCTTAGCAAAAAAGAAACTTCTTTGCAGCAAGAACTCCTTAATCATTTGCTGATTTTAAAATAAACAATGAAGGGGGTTTGTCCCCTCTAAAGCCGATAGCATATGAAAATTTTTCTTCAAATTAGTTGTCCCCATTTAGCGGGCACCGTAAATCAATGTTTAAATACAACAATGACAATCGTCCAAGGAAATCTAGTGGTTCTTCGAGATAAAAAGCACTTTAAAATCAAAATAGAGAACTTAAGCTTGAAAAAATTTTGGAATCTGACGCTAGGGGTACAATAAAGGGGAACTAAGTTATCAAGGTCGATATAAAACTTTAGAGACTTAGAAAATTGAATTAGTTGCAGGAGGAGATGAAGTAAAAAGAGCACTAATTAGAGTTGCAACTAAGTCTCTAAAAGTAAAAAGTTTTCCAGAAGTGGTTTTTGTCCCCATCTCAGTTTAGTGATAAATGCAAGTTGATAGAGCAAAAATCTAAGCCAAGTCAGGAAAGAGATTCAGTATTCTAGGATAAAAAGACTGTTAGAGAGATGATTGAGGAGATTAGAACTAAATTTAAGATTGAAGAAGAAAAGGCAAAAGAATTTGAATATGAAGATTCAAGCAGTGGTGACGAGACAGAAAACAATGATCGAACTCAAAGAAGGTATTAGTCACCCTTTAATACATAAAAAACTCTTCTTAAGCCTAGATAACGATTATCTAAAATCTGAGCCATCTGAAATAACTTAGTATATTGGTAACAGAAAATAATCAAATCTAAATGATAAAATAAATTCAAGCATCTCAAGAGAATAAACATTAAATAATAAAGCGAGAACTTATCTGGGCATAAATTGTTATATATTCACTATTTCCATTAATTTCATCATACTTTAATTTAATTTTCTCATTATTTCATTTAGAGGGGTTTTGGGGTTTTGGGGTTTTGGGG